ATCAGTCTTTTGACTCAGCAATTTTAGTGTGTCCACACATATATTCAAAAAACCCACAAATGTCACATACTAGAAGATAGTAAAGCATATGCATAATGGTCTAAAAATGTATCAGCTGTTAAGCTCATGGGTTCCATTTCTTCTCTATGTTTTTCTTTTATTTCTCTGAGACTGTCCTATACAGTCTGAATAAACCAAAAATGTGAATGAGGAGACAGTTCAGCTGTCTGAACAACCCCGCCTGTGAAACCTACAGGGCACACACAGAGGGGGTGACATCAGCAGGGGAGCTGCAGGTCTTTGGCCTGAAGGGCAGGTCTGTTGTCACCTCGAGGTCAAACCCCAACACCCCTGTGCAGGATCAGGATCCCACTGCAGCAGAGAAGTCTGGTGAAATTGCTCAGGAACTTCTTAAAACTTTTGACTCTAACAAAGTATACTTACTATACACAGATTCATAAGAGAGATTTTGTCAATGGGACAGACTTTTTTACCCTGAAACTTGGTTTCTGTAGTACAAATTGCACATCCTACGAAAAATACTCATCTCTGGCAACAGCAATTGCAGACAAACCTAACAATCTTAAGAACTGTGACATCTTTCAGCACTTACGGTAGCTCCTTGTTTCTCTATGTAAGCTTGACATATTCCTGATTTGTAAAATGATATCTAAAAATAAAAAAAAAAATCAAGTGTCTGAAATTAAGAGGTGCTTTAGCAAATCATAAATTAAATTCCGGTCCATCAGTGACTTTGCCTAAGAAAAACATGCTAAGGAATAGTTATAGCCAACACCATATCTCATATTTTAAAGGAAAATGATAACTAAAATTAGTTCAGGCATTTGTCATAGTGTAATCTCTTTTCCATCTAAAGATACATTAACAAGCAAGCAAAAGACTTAGCAAAGCAAAATCGCAGAACTCTGCCCCTGCTGCTCTCATTGTGAATTGGGTGGCATCTTACCCATTCAGTCTGGTCCATTCCACAAAAGGTTCACCATTTTAAAAGGCCACTTCATCAAAAGAGCAGAAGACATAGGCTGTCATCTACATTAGTAATGCACAAAAATAAAAGTTTGCTTTAAATGTCATAAATTTACTTATCCTTGATCCTCAAACAAAACACTTCTTAGAGAAACATGCATGTATGTGTGATGCGTACACTTGATTCCTAGACGTACTTTGGTTCAGGCTGACCAAGAAGCAACAGGCCTCATGTCCTTGGGGTGAAGTTGTGAGCTGGAAAGCCCTTGGCTCATGTACAAAGGCATGAAGGTGTCTTGAAAAATATTTCGAAAGGTGGTTTTGAAACCCCAAAGTACAAGATAACCAAAGTACAGAACAAGATATCAGAGCTAAACCAAAAACATCTGTCTTGTCTATACTATTGACTAGCAGCCAACTACTTCACCCTATAAATATTAAAATCAGGATGGGTCCAGCTGGAGCTCTCCCTGAATGGCAGCTGACCTGCTTGCCAAGTGACTCTCCCCTTGAGCAGGAACACCTCTCAAGGTTAGAGATTCCTTACCTGGGACCAAGAGATCCTTCCTTGCCCAAGGCGGAGAGATCCCTTACCCACGACAGATCCTCGGTAAGTGACTGACAGCACGCTGAATTAATACTATGAAACATTACTAATCTGTGTAGCTAATCAGATATTATACACATAGTATGGATAATTCCATTAAAGATGAACTGTTGACCAAGTCTGAGACTGAGATTGGATCCAGCCACACCTAGGCTCCAAAAAGGAGTTTAGAAAGCAAGGGGGTCCACTCTGAACCTCATGACTCATCAGGAGGGTTCTCTTTACTCTTTGTGGCTCCCTTGTATGTTTCTCCCATGCAGTAATTAATAAGGTGAACCTTGCCATCAAACTTATTGAACCTTGTCATACCACTGTTAAAACTTTGTTAAATTTCATCAAACTTATTGAACTCCATCAAATGATTTTACCTCAATAAAACATATTGCTGCTTCTCTCTGAGTGAGGTGCATTCCGCTCATCTGCAACAGTATGTAACTACATATACTTATTTACACAGTGATACTGACCGCCATTACAACTGAAATTTGATTTAGTGTTCCAATAACAGGTGCAGAAAGGATGTCTTGATGCAGGAATAATAACTGTCTATAAGAAAAAGTTAAAAAAAATATATAAATTCAGTACTTGATTTTCTCAGCTTATATTTATTTTCCCCACCTTCTGCAAACATAATACATTCCACTTTTAATTGGTTTCCAGTGGTTCAGTATAATATACTAGTCCAAGAGTACTTGCTCTTAACCTACACACAGTGGTCTAAGACAAAGACTACGGGCCTTTGGCACATGAACAGAACTCTCCAAAAGTGTTCCTTTTGGCAGAATTTCTCATTTCTTCCCTTTCCTATTAAAGGCTACGACATAATTCTTGGTGAACACAAAGGAGCATACATATGCTTTCCGAGTATTCTGTTCACTCAGTCTCAACCTACATAAAGCAATACAATAATTCAAAATACGTACCTAAAGCATTCCAACTTTGCATGTGACTACAGATTAATTTTAACCATTAATTCCAAGTAGGTGGCCTTGTGAGTTTTAGCTGATGACATTTAAAACATAACAGAAATGCATTTTTTTCCCCAATACCCAGCAAGTCCCCTACCAAAAAAAAACCCCACAGCTATTTTGAACAATTTTGTACTGTTTGCTGCTGATAAGAATGTTGCTGATTTTATTACAGGTAATTCTAGCACTGCTAATAAAATCCTTGAGTAACAACAACCAACAGCTTCTTAAAATAATAACCCTCAGAATTCTTTACCTGCAAGTCTTTATCTGTGTATTTCTTATGTCAGTTTCCGGTATTTGAGAACTCAGTGTTACTGTAGCAGTGCAGAGTTTTTGTAGCTCTGGCAGACTGACAAAGAACAGAGACTGGTGCCTGGTGTCATTCATGTTATATTGTTGATTGCCCCAAAGCAGCACCCGGGTCTTAAAAGAAAAAAATTAATCCATTTTTATAAGACAGATATTTGTTTACAGAACTTTATAAGTATACAGTATCAGGTAAATGAATAATCAATTATCTTCTGATTAAGATTAGATGTCCAATATAACATAATTTGGTCAATTAAAACAGACAGCTCAATACACTTTTGCTATAAATAATGCAATACTTGAGATAATAATTATTTACAAGAGTCAAAATATTCAGAGTGAAGACAATGACAAAAGCATCCTTTCCACCTTCTTCTCAGTCTGCATTGGGGCTGGAATAGATCTGGGACCCAAGAGCTGAGGAATCCCTCTGAGATGTTGGTCCCCTCCTGCCTGGCAAGAAAGTTTAATTCCGAAGGAGCTTAACAGAGATCTCACTAAGTCATACAAGGACCATGGCCAGCCTGTCGGAGAAAATGTAAACCACAGACACAGGGAGGCACACTGGAAATCTCTTCCTTTTTCCCCACATCAGGCTTCCTTCCTAGTGGTAAAGGGAATTTTTGTGCTTCCTGCTCAAATCCATCTCTCTTCTCAAGTGGCAGGTGAACACCATATTCTATCCTATGCAGAACTGAGTACAGCCTTACACTGGACTGAAAGCTGTACTAATTGAGAATCACATTTAGCTACATGATTGATAATAAACATAGACAATTTGTTCTCCCATTTTTGCTCTCAAAGGAGAAATGTATGAAGAACAGCATTTGTCTTGGTGGGAATTTTTAATAGGTACACTCCTACATAGTTATCAAAAAATGAAGAAAACAGAGCTGGTGTTTGGAGTGGAATGTGATTAGACATATAGTGGTTCTACCAAAGCTGTCTCTCACATCCTAAGCTTTGCCTTGTAATAGAAATTACTGACTCTGTTTCCTAGAGTATGAGGCAGTTTTGGGCTCAGGCCACAATCATTATCTCGATATTTCACATGAAGTTAAATACAGAGTACATGTATGTTAACTGCCATACAACTGAGCAGGTGTGCTGCAACTCCATCATTTTTGCAACTTCTAAAAAGCACAGAAAAGAAGAACTGAAAGAACTAGAATTTCAGACTGAGAATGTGACTCTCTGATGCAGTACTAACAAATTTCATGTGAGTGGGAGTAATATGAAGTCACTGCTGTTACTTTGCCTGTTGGATGCCTGTTGTATGCTCCTATGTATTGCAGCACAGGCCAGGCTCAGTGTAAAGGAACTAGAGTACTTATGACAAAAACGAACATCTAACATTTCATTACTTAAAGAAAATACACCTTTTGACTATAGCACCTTTCTCAATCAAAGTGTTTCAAAGAAAAACAGGCAGGCAGAAAGTCTGCTTGTTATGAAAAGCCAGGAACAAACACTGCACAACAGAAAAAAAGCTGTTTTAATAGTTCCCTAAAACCCTTTTGGGAAATGGTCTTACCAGCACAGTGAAGATGGCAATAGATATTTTGTTTCCAAATGTTATGAAGTCACCAGGTATTCACCTGAAAAGCAATTTTGCAAATGATGATCATAATATGATGAACTGGAAACATTTTTTGAGGAACAATGTCAAAGATAACTTTGCTGTTCTGGTTTTGCTTTGCCTTGCTTACAGTGTAACACATTAAAAAGATTAACCTCAGTCATATCCTAGAAAAATCACAAGAGCAATGCTTTATAACTGTAATTTTAAAGAAAATAATGTTTCCTTGTTTCTTAGCCTTAAAGGAAAACACATTTCAAGTTTCTTCCAGCAAGCATAAAAAGCAGATTTTTCTAAAATGTCAGCCAAGACTATCAGTTCATCAGAGAATTCCAAAAGCTTCAGCTTAAGGGAAAAGACCATTTTAAACAAATGAGAAAAAAATCTTGTCCATTTGCAAACACAGAAAAGATGGGCTGTGTCCTCAGTTTTCATAACGTTTAAAAGAATCCTAAATGGCCAACTGGGGATTTTTGTGGCAAAGATGTTGTAAAACCCATGCTGCAATGTTCCAGTAATCCACTTGCTGTTTGAGGCCAACCCGCCTATGGGAACTACTCGCTGTATTCAGGGTAAGTTAAACCCTCCCAGTCGTCTTAAAAGCTAATGGGACAGAGTGCTTGCAAATGGCTTCTCCCTTTAGGGGAGAGGATAAAGACAGAATTACCAGTCAACATAGAACTACCAGTTATAAATCACAGGAAATAAAGCCAACTGCCTTCTGTACAAGTAGAACTTAATGCGTGTGGGAGAAATCGTATCTTTAGGTGTTGATAATCATAACACGTGAACCTGAAACCACTACAGAGCTCCTGTGAGCTGAACAGGACATCAGTGGGAGAATGGCTATTGCTGGTTTTCTGTGAGATCAGTCAGATAAATGACAGAGCTTGGTGTTGATATTTGTTATTTTCAGTAATGACCAGGAAAACGGAATGAAGAGCCTCCTTACTAAAGCTGAGAACAACACCAAGCCATGAGGGACAGTAGCTACTTTTCCCATTAGGCTGACTGTAATGAACTACAGACGGGATCTGGAGATTGTGGTGGCATTCAGCCAGAAAGTATGAAGCTGCCCTGCAGACAGATAACCAACAGCACACATACAGTGTACAAAACACCTACTGCAGTGTCCCAGTTTGAGGACAACAGCTTTGAGGAAAGGTGTCTCGACAGGTCACTCTGGGTGAATTTTATGTTCCTGAAGTTATGCTGTAAGCAAACACCACAAAAAAAACACCAATCCAAAACCAAACCAACAGCCTGTAATCACGCCTGACTGCATACATGGGGCTGTTGCTGTTGAAGCACCCAAGTAGTGCAGGTGTGTGACCCAGTGCCTGTGGCACAGCGCAGGGTGCTGCCCTGAGGGGAACTGGGGGGACCCGTTCTGGCCCAACAAGCAAACAAAAAGCCATCAAACACATTAGAGGCCAGAGCGAAAGAATCGGCTTTTATCTTAAACAAAACCGAAGGAAAGCAAGGGCGGCCGGT